TTTTGAAGCTAGGAAATGAGCTTTAGAAACAACATGCAACATCCCGGAGAATAGTAGAAATGGTGTCGATCATACTGGACCTTCCCGAACACACTGACTTCCGAAAGGAGTCTTGGCACATAGCACCAGCCCCGTCGGAAGAGGGGTGTTGGGCGGGCTCGACTTGACAAGCTCGAGAGCACCTGATTCTTCGGACGGTCTCGACAGCGAGGGACTCCGCGTTGCCCCTCACCCACCAGAAAACGGGAAAGGTTTCGCAAAAGGAGAGAACCGCTCGGGGGAGATGCCGAAGGTGAAGATGATGAGGGTGCGCGTTCGACAACCGCGGGGCAGGGGGCATGCTTGGGAAGCGAAGCTGGAACTAGAGCTCCAGAGGATGATAGTCGTCATAGGTTCTTGAAAGAAAGAACCCGACGGGTTGGGCAGATTTCCAATCGCGGTCGTTCGGAGATTTAAAATCGCGCCCAGGTGCTAGGGAGTTGGTGGGCAGCAAACTCTAACCTTGCTGCTTCTGTGGGATGAAGGAGCTGGAGACGCGTGTACAGCCAAAGATTACTCGCGTTGGGAAGGCGGATATCCACGAACCTGACTTGGGTCAAGTCCGCGGATAGACGAGGTGGCGGCAGACCCGGAACGCCCACCTGCAGACAACACTGCCGAGAACGAGATTGAGCTTGATGCCCCTGAAGATCCGCTTGAGTCCGCGTAATTGCCAAGACGTTTGTGTTCCCGCACGATCAAGCGCGTGGTCAACCATCGTTTCCACGCGGCCAAGCGACGTCTCCAAGCTGCCAAGTTTGCTTGGCTCAATGCTTTCGAGATGATGCGGATTTAATACAAAAGCGACGCCAGACCTCCTGTCATGAAATCGAGGAAACACCATCCTCTACACATCTTCTCAACGGAACGAGACATCGCAAACAAAATACGCTCTCGTTCATGTTACTCAGCGTAGGACAACACTCACTGCTCAACAGAGGCCGCCCTTGCAGAACACGTCGACCATTCGAACTTTGTACGATCCCGATCGAAGCTTCCTCGCCGTCGGTCGAACTCTGCTTGGTTCTGTAGTCAAATCACCCCACGTAGTTACCACAACTTCGTGGCCGCTAGCAAGCGGGCGCACCACGGAGTAAACTCTCGCTTTCCGGCCGCCGGTAAGACGATGTCCAAACCGAGAGCGGAAACAAATTGCGATCTCGACGATTGCGATGGCGAGTAATTTTCCGACTCTGTTCCTGCATCCCCCTCGTGTTGGTTAGCCATGGCGGAAGAACCGGAAGAATTGTCCCTCTTCGTCCCATGTATTGGAGGCCCAATATGGCCGTGCCAGCTGTCATGGGGTTCAGGAGCTTACGCACTGACTTGAACAACCCCTCAGGATCAATCATGCCTCGATGAGCCTGGCAAGGATGGAGCTTCTCGTTTTCTCGTCGTCGGAACCCGCTCCGGTGTGCCTTGGTTTGAGCTCCTGCTCAGCGGGCATGATGTGCATTGCTAAGGCCCGGCAATACCTTCCAGTCTAGACGACATTTGCTGGGGAGAAGCAGTAACCGTCGTTGACACCCCGTATTGGATGGGCTTGAAACTTCTTCAGAATTTGCTAGAGAGAAGAGTCGGCATCTATCAGCGTGACCTGGCTGGGATTGCCACATCCGTAGGCCCTGCAACTCACTTGCATGCGATGCAATACGCCGTATCCATATCACCTGCGATCTAGCGTACGCTGATAGCTAGCGGAACCACTGGAACTTCCCGAAGCTCGCGATTCGCCAGAAGTCGTTTGATTCTTGTCCCTCTAGAACCTTTTGGTAATAGAGGCCCGGATTACAGCTTTTGCTTTTGTGTTGCTCCCTATTCCCTGTGATCTTCTGTATGGGTAGGAATTTTCCAACCATGTGCCGGATTGTAGCACTTTACCATCTGCAAGAGATCACGGATCGACATCGTGAAGAAAAACTTGTTCCTTCCCTTTTGGGCCATGCTGCCGCTCTTTTGTTTTCTTCCCTATTCCACGTTGCCGCTCCTATGGCATCAGAGTTGATTCTAGGGGCGGTTTAGGTTTCAGCGAGTCAGTTTTCCGTCGGGAAGTTTTAATATTCTCCTAGAGCATATCTGTACAATCAACATGCAATTTTGACTATCGTTAGCTTCAACTATGGCATTGGGAAGCACATGTGATTTCTCACAAATTGATATATCAGCAGTCGAGAATCTCGATCGACTTCATAATGACGGCAAAGATCTATGATCAATTCCACCGAACATGCGAGTCGGGATGAGTCTGTCGAAACTTGATGCCCCGATGAGCTGGAAAACAGTACGCTCTGTCGACAATGGCAGAGTATGTGCCTTTTCCTCGGTCCAGCTTAGACCACACGTTCATGTGTAAGTAGCTGGAGGTGTAGAGGAAGCTGCAGTATCATCCTCGCCAGGTTCCGTGCGCAGTTGAGTCGCCCTGGACCGCCACTTTTGTTTTCTGCTCCAGCTTCTGATGGACATGTACGTGCGCGACGGCGACCGATCCCCCCATTTACTGCTCATTGTCGTGGCCAAAGGGATGAACATGTAGTTGTTGTCAGTCACCAGCTAGTCAAGTTTGCTTAATGGGTGTTGCCGAGATCTTCTTGCTGCCAGTCGCCACTTGCCAATCTTTGGGTAGGATACATGTGCGTGGCTGGATGTATTACTGACGACGCGGCTTCAGCGACTGGTGTTAGGGATGAAAGTGACCCTGTAGCAGTGCCAAGAGAGTAGAAGGTTTTGGTATATAGCTAGTACCGTACTATGCCCGGCTCATCTCAGCTATGTGCTGAATGTGACTGCATATAAAATCATGACTAGAAAAACATCATTCGAAGGGGTAAAGTGCCTGCCTCTGGCGACTGGCAATTGGTGATGCCAACGGGAAGATCTGGGGCAACATTACATGGAAGTCTGGCTGCTTTTTTTCAGAAGCTTAAACCCCGGGCGAGGATCGGGATTGGGATGGAGATGGGGGAAATGTAGAAAGAAAAAGAACGAGAACGTCCGGGCGTCATCTCTGTACGATCTCCCTCGCAGTGTACCCGGCCAAACACGTGATTCATCACGTTTCTCAACAGAGAAAGCTGTTGTCTCAATTCTTCCGCTTCCCTCTTTAGCATTTATACCTACCCGAAGTATATCTTTCTACCCAATTGTTGAATAAGTCTTGTCTGTTGACCGTTGTTTGCGGTAGACCGCAATTCTGCTGATTGCGGCGGCATTTGAGAGGGGAGGGAAACAGGTCACACGACCAGGCCCTTCTGTGGAAAAGCTTAATTGACAGATTCCAAAGCCGCGGCCGTGTCTGTCCGCTTGCAATGGAACGGGACCCAACGTATGATGTTCTTTCTTGGCGGCGGTCTCCGGCCGCGGAGAACTTGCTCGAGGCAGGCACAGTGAAAATCCCACTCAACGTCTGCTAGCGCCGTTATCCATGGATGGCCAAGACGTTATTGGGAATCATTGTGGCACCTCTGGGGAAGAAACCGGGGGTGGTGCAGCCAGTCATCACCAGCGGTCGGGGCACATGTTTTGGCGGCCAAGAACTTCTGCAGGGCTGGATGCTTCCCCGGAGTCCACCTCAGCGTTCGTCGTCCCACGTCCACCACTGCAGCAGCAGCACCACGCGCAGTGGCAGTGCACCCGACGAACCCCCACCGGCGGGCGGCGAGGTTGCAGTGTTCCCGCCAAGGCTTCGGCGGACTCGCCGCCCGCAGTCTGGACGCCGTCGCTGCCAGTCACACCGAAACTACCCGTCGTGAGGTGCTGTGCTATGTATGTATGTACCTAGGATATTGTATGGTAAGGTAAGGTAAGGTAAAGTACCTGGCTACTGACTGCCCGGGCAGCGTGCGCCCGCTGAACGTCACTACTCCCACCCCGATAGGACCCTTCCCCCGTCTCTCGGGCTCCTCTCCTCTCCTCTCCTCCCCCGACGACGACGGCAACCGGCAGCAAGTACACCTTCTGAAGCTGTTTGCTGTGTCACGTTGGGGCTGTGACATTCCGCCTGCCTCACTTCAAAGACAACCGAGGGTGCTAGCTTCCGCCGCCGTCTCTTCCAAATCCGCATCTTGGCAATTGACATCATCCGTCTTACCTCTCTCACATTCGCAGTCTCTCACCCATGAATGAATAGCCACGAATAGAACATAAACACCTCAGGGTATCACCGCTCCAACTGCCGTTCTGCGAGCTTCTCCAAAACATGGAGAACCGATAAGCTACACAATACTATTACCACCCAAAGAAACAGCCAAGACGTTCCTCAGCGCGAATCACAATCCGCCCGCCTCCGTCATCGACAGTCGGCACCGTCCTCCGTGCCTGCGCCAAGCCGAGCCAAGAGGGCCAAGAGGGCCAAGATGCCTCTAACGCTTGCTCGATGGATCCTCCTTCGTCGCCGCAGCCAGTTAGAACATCACCGCCGTCAGAATTTGCCCCAATGCCTCCAGCTTGCAGCCTGCACTCGACAAGACAAGCAGTCGCAACCATGCTCCCACCGGTTCTTGGGTTGTTGTCGTGGTGGAGGAGCATCTTGCCTTGCGTCTCGCATCCGCATCTGCTTCTTCTCTTATCGGCGTCCCGTCGGTGAATTCGTCGGTGGCTTCTTTGTCTTGGCCAGCCGTTGCGGTCCCACGCACGACAAGTCAAAAGCAGCTTTCGTCCTGCTTTCCTTACAGAGATCTCTTCCCTACAAACTATCCCCAATTCAATGACCACGAAGCTCACCACTTGCCTTTGCGTTGCTACACTGACAAGCCCCTGCTGAGTCTCTCCTCTGACGTCTTATCGTCACCGTGTCATACATTGTCCATCTACCCCTCTCATTGACAACTGACCTGCCACGTCGCAGTTGCCAGTCGTCTTTTCAAAGCCCTTCTTCGTCGTCTTTGCCGTCTTCGAATCCTCTTGCTCAGGTCAAACGACCACATCCATTTTGTCACCCCTTCAAGACCTGCCTTTCGCTCACCATGGGCAACTCAAAGGCAGCCAAGCCCGACGAGAGTCATGTCTCTGGGCAGTCAAACAAACCCCTCTCCCACCCCGCCCACGCCCTGTCCTTCCAACAGGTCGCCGAGGAACTTCGCGCCAACGCTCAGGACGGTCTTTCTGCCGCCGATGCCAAGGCACGCCTCGAGGAATTCGGCGGCAATGATCTCGGTGAAGCCGAGGGCGTCCAGCCCATCAAGATCATCATTGCCCAGATTGCCAATGCCATGACCATGGTAAGTCATCGCAGATACGTGACTGCTAGCATGTCTAACGCTTTCCAAAGGTCCTCATTCTCGCCATGGCCGTCAGTTTCGGCATCAAGTCCTGGATCGAGGGCGGTGTCATCACCTTCGTCATCCTCCTCAACGTCATTGTCGGATTCTTCCAAGAGTATTCTGCTGAAAAGACCATGGACTCCCTTCGTTCTCTGAGCTCGCCAACTGCCAACATCGTTCGCGACGGCGAGTCCATGGTCGTGCCCTCTGGTGAAATCGTGCCCGGCGATCTCGTCGAGATCAAGACCGGCGATACNCCATCCCCGCCGATGTCAGGTTAGATGTTCCATCTCCCTTCGTTTTCTGGAAGCGACTAAGTAGGCCGTTAGGCTCATCGAAGCCGTCAACTTTGAGACCGACGAGGCTCTGTTGACTGGCGAATCCCTCCCCGTTCGCAAGAATGAGGATGCCACCTTCCCCGACAACACCGGTCCTGGCGATCGCCTCAACGTCGCGTACAGCTCGTCGAATGTCACCAAGGGCCGCGCCAAGGGAATCGTCTTCGCTACCGGCGTCTACACCGAGATTGGTGCCATCGCGTCTGCGTTGCGCAAGAAGGATTCCAAGGTTCGCGAGGTCAAGCGAAAGCCCGATGGCCGCGCCGGTCCCCACCGATACCTCGAAGCGTATACCCTCACCTTGACTGATGCCATTGGCCGATTTTTGGGCGTCAACGTAGGCACACCTCTCCAGCAGAAGCTGTCCAAGCTGGCTATGCTTCTCTTTGGTATCGCGATCGTCTGTGCCATTATTGTCTTGGGCGCGAACAAGTTCGAAGCCAAGCAGGAGGTCATTATCTACGCCGTCGCTACGGGTCTGTCCATGATTCCTGCCAGTCTGGTGGTCGTGCTCACGATCACAATGGCCGCCGGCACGAAGCGCATGGTCAAGCGCAACGTCATCGTGCGCAACCTCAAGTCTCTCGAAGCCCTCGGCGCTGTGACGGACATTTGCTCTGACAAGACCGGTACCCTTACACAAGGAAAGATGTTGGCTCGTGGTGCATGGCTTCCTGGGATGGGAACATACACCGTCGAGAACTCGTCGACGCCTACAGACCCCACCGTTGGTGAAATTCGCTTCGACGAACGTTCCCCTAGACACTTGGACTTTAAGAAGGGAGGCGATGCATGCGGCACCGTTCTTGAAACACAACGGCTGTTGCAGAACAGCAAGTCTGGTCTGGCTGCCTTCCTCCACGTTGCCTCTCTCGCCAACTTGGCCACAATCAGCAAGAAGGATGATCAGTGGCATGCGCGCGGTGATCCTACCGAGATTGCTATCCAGGTGTTTGCCTCCCGCTTCGATTGGAACCGTTTGCGCCTCATGACTGGCGACAGCCCCGAGTGGAGTGAGATTGCGGAGCTGCCCTTCGACTCGGACGTAAAGCGCATGTCTGTCATCATGAAGCACAACATCTCTGGCGAATACTTTGCCTACACCAAGGGCGCTGTCGAGCGAGTTATCCAGGCCTGCACCAAGTACACCCCTCAGGACTCGGGCGAGCTCGTGGACATCAATGCCGAATTCCGCGAGGAGATTCTCCGCAATATGGAAGCCCTCGCTAGTCTTGGTCTTCGTGTGCTCGCCCTTGCTAGTAAGCCTTATGACGGAAAGCCGAATAAGGGAGACGAGGTTGAGCGCTCTTCCGTGGAATGCGATTTGGTCTTCCGTGGGTTAATCGGCCTGTACGACCCTCCCCGTCCTGAGTCCGCCCCGGCCGTTCGCCAGTGTCACGAGGCCGGTATCTCGGTTCACATGCTCACCGGTGACCACCCCGAGACCGCCAAGGCTATCGCTATCGAAGTTGGAATCCTGCCGTCCCGTATGGAGCGTGTAGCAAGGAACGTTGCCGACGCGATGGTCATGACCGCATCCGAATTCGACGCTCTCAGCGACGACGACGTCGACAAGCTTCCGGTGCTTCCCCTCGTCATCGCACGTTGCGCTCCCAGCACCAAGGTTCGCATGATCGAGGCTCTTCATCGTCGCAAGAAGTTCTGCGCCATGGTAAGCCCGTGATTCCGAGTTCAGATGTTGTCCAGCTAGCTAACGAACCACAGACTGGTGACGGTGTAAACGATTCTCCTTCGCTGCGTCGCGCCGACGTCGGTATCGCCATGGGACAATCCGGATCCGACGTAGCCAAGGACGCTTCCGATATCGTCCTCACCGATGATAACTTTGCCTCCATCGTCTCTGCCATCGAAGAAGGCCGCCGCATCTTCGACAACATTCAAAAGTTCGTCCTCCATGTCCTGGCTGAGAACATCGCCCAGGCCGGTACGCTCCTGGTCGGTCTTGCATTCAAGGATACCCGAGGCCTCTCCGTCTTCCCTCTCGCCCCCGTTGAAATCGTCTGGATCATTATGGCTACCTCGGGCATGCCCGACATGGGACTTGGCTTCGAGCGCGCTGTGCCCGACATCATGCGCCGCCCTCCTCAGTCACTCAAGACAGGTATTTTCACCATGGAATTCCTCGTCGACATGGTGGTCTATGGCTTGTGGATTGCCGCCCTGTGCCTGTGCAGCTTCGTCTTGGTTGTCCACGGATTTGGTGGGGGCCAGCTGGGTGAAGGGTGTAACGAGACGTACAGCGAGTCTTGTGACGTCGTCTTCCGCGCCAGAGCAACGACCTTTGCCTGCCTAACCTGGTTCGCCCTGTTCCTCGCCTGGGAGATGATTGACATGCGCCGTTCCTTCTTCCGCATGCAGCCCGGGTCGAAGAAGTACTTCACCCAGTGGATGTACGACGTCTGGCGCAACCGCTTCCTCTTCTGGGCGATCATGCTCGGCTTCGTCACCCTCTTCCCTCTGCTGTATATCCCTGTCATCAACACCGTCGTCTTTAAGCATAAGGGGATTTCGTGGGAGTGGGCCATCGTCTTTATTGCGGCAGGACTCTTCTTCGCCGGCGTTGAGGCCTGGAAGTGGGGCAAGAGGGTTTACTTCCGCCAGAAGAACAAGAAGGCCCACGGCGTCGCCTGGAAGGACATGGACATCGAGCAGAGAGTGTTTGGGGAATACCTTGGTAGCTCTTCCGACGACAACAGGACTGAGATTGGTGATGATGACCATTACGCGGAGAAGGAAGGCTTGGAGAAGGTTTAGGGGGCTGAAAGAGCCTTGACGGAGGTTTAGAGTTGGCTCGAGATGTTGATTGGCCAATGGTTGTAGCACGCAATATAATATCAGAGAGTATTTCCTCCACACACGACTTTCCCAGCGATGAATCCCGTTTCAGTGATGCCGAGACAATGTTGAAAGACTTATGCGAGAGGGAGAAGTTGGGTTGTGGGTAACATCAGTTAAGGTGGCTGATGCTTCACTGTTGAAACCTTCAATCCAAATTGAGCGCCTGAGGCCGGATTGACTTCGCAACTACTTCAATATATTGATGGCCATTTATTGTAAGCAAAACGTGGTTAACATGAGCGTTTTAGTCCATATTGGCTTTTTTTGGCCGTCGAAGGCTCAGACGAGCTTTATTAATTGGGATTTGCAACGGTGATACGCTAGAACGATAAACGATGGCGCCACGCCGTTGGTTTTGGCTCGCCATTGAGATGCCACCTTTGCAGCACAACGATTGCTCATGCTTCTGTCTCAATTCATATAACATCATGGAGCCTAGATCGTCTTCAATGTGAAAGAAGATCTACGATCAATCAAGCCTATCTAAGCTCCTCACAACCTCCAGATACTGGTTGCATCTCCCTGCTTCCTCGACTTCAAGACTCTCAAGATCCCCTCAGAACAATGATGAACCATCGCAAGATTTCGACCCTCTTGGTCGCTCTAGCCTCTCTCGGCCCTGTCAATGCCATGTTTGGGTCCGACATGGCCGGGGTCAATGAGCCGATCGACGTGAAGGACCGGTACATTGTCACTTTCTCGCCGAACATCTCAGAAGCGGGTATCAAATCACACTTGGGGTGGGTGGACACGATGCACGCGCGCAGTCTCAATCGTCGGGACACCACTGGCTTCGAGGACAGGCTGGACGTGGGCGACGACTTCCACGCCTACATCGGCCACTACGATGAAGCGACCGTCGAAGAGCTGAGGAACAACCCTGACGTTGGAAACCCGGCATTCCACATAAGCATAACCATCTTGAACTAACCATGCGTGCTAGGTGACATACGTCGAAGAGGACAGGGTCGTCTCCATTGCGACAGTCAAGACGCAGACGAGGGCCGGGTGGGCCCTGCACAGCATGGCGAACCGCGGACAGAGCAGCAAAACGCAATACTTATACCACGAGTCTGCAGGAGAGGGCACGTACGCGTACGTGATCGACAACGGCATCGACATCAGTAATCCCGAGTTCGAAGGCCGCGCAGAGCACGGATATAGCGCTCACGGCAACAAAGTGAGCCACTTCCACGGCACCACAGTGGCCGGCATCATCGGCAGCAAAACGTACGGCGTTGCCAAGAAGGGCAATCTTGTGTCCGTACAGCCTTTTGGCGGTACGGGAGGCAAGATGAGTGATGTGTTAAAAGCCCTCGAGTGGGCGGTCAAGAACGCAACGGAAACTCCAGAGCGAAAGGGGCGCTCGGTGATCAACATGTCGATGTGTAAGACTTTCTCGCCCTGCCACAGCGTGGCTTTCTATGTCCAGATTCAGAATCTAACGGGAGTTCTCAGCGGCTGAGGTGAAAGATAATTATGAGCATGCCATGGCTATCAGCCGTCTTGTGAAGACCGCCGTTGAGCAAGGCGTCCACGTGGTCGTCTGCGCCGGTAACGACAACCAGGACGCCAGAAAGGAAGTGCCCGCCGGCCTCCCGTATGCAATCACCGTCGGCGGCATTACTGAGAACTGGACATGGTGGCATCATTCAAACTATGGCCCGGAAGTCGACGTCAGCGCTCCCGCAGAAAACGTGATGACCACTGGGCTTGAAGGCGCAACAGTCCAACAGACCGGAACGTCGTTCGCCTCTCCTCATGTCGCCGGCCTTGCTATGTATCTCCTCGGGAAGGAGAGTGCCAACAACATCACATTGAGCTCACCTGAGGATCTGAAACGTCGCATCGTGGCCATGTCTACCAAGAACAAGATCAAGGGCATGGAGCGTACTACACCGAACAGGATTGCATTCAACGGAGCCGGGCAGTGATTGAACAGTGGGTTGTTGGGGTACTGTGCGCTTTACACGCAGCTGGCAAGACGATGCAATTTAGTGCTTATTAGTCAGAATGCTCTGGATAGTCAATCTGATTCTATTGTGACCGCGAGGTCTGCAACCGTCTGCTTCTGGATGTGAGACTCGCCATTCTTCGCCCACCTGACCAGCTCATACCTTCACCCATGCAATTGCGCCAACGCCCATCTTCCTCGTCTTGCACACCCTAGCCGCGAGAACGCACGTCATGCCGAGAAGGAGACATGTTCCCGCAAACCCTTGGGCGCCAGAGTACTTTCCCCCTTGCGCGTCGATGATCGCACCGGCGATCGGAGATCCCGTCAAACTAGCGAAACTGACGATAGTGAATACCATGCCCATACGCGTGCCTTGCTTTTGAGGGTCCGCGGTCAAGCTGCTCAGAACCGCCGGGAACAGCGCCTGCACGCCGCCGACGGCGAAGCCATAAAACACCGCCCACACGTATAGCCCGGTGAGGTTAGCGACACCCATCCAGCAGTACATTATGGTACCGGTCATGAAGGCCATCGGGGCAAAGATGTTGATGGTGCCAATCATGTCGCCGATTTGGCTCGGTATGATTCTGCCAAAGGCGCCGACGCCGTTGAGGACTAGCAGCAGGTCCAGGGAGTCGGTGAAGGAGAGGCCCATGATGTCGCGGGAGAAGGCGGCGAGGTAGTGGAAGGCGAAGTAGATTCCCCAAAAGCACTATCGCGTTATCAGCTTTAGTTGCTGGGAAGGAAGCCGTACGTCTTACCATGAAAGCCCCGACGGCATAGAAGCTGTACTCGGACTCCTTGAAGGCTGCCCACTCGACCAGAGGTGCGGCCTGGCGGGGAGGTATCCTGGTCTTGATGAGAAGCCCGGCGATGGCCAGAGTGACCAATTGGATCAAGGCTATCGTTCGCATCGTCCAGCCGAGTCCAATCTGGGGCAAGAGCTGTCTAACCATGCTCGGGAACGCCAGGCCGCCTACCGTTGCCCCCGCGGCGGTGATGCCGAATGCAAGTGAGCGGCGCTTGGCGAAATACGTCGACGTGACCGCCATGGTCGGGCAGAAGAGACATCCGTTACCGAGACCGAGACAGATTCCCTGCGCGAGAAAGAACTGCCAGTAAGTGGTGCAGAACGAGGCGGCAACCATACCGAGCACAACCAGAAAGAAGCCGACGATGAAGAGGGGCCGGAAGAAACCCATGTCAGTCCAGCGGCCGGTGAAGGTGCCGACAAAGAACAGCAGAAAAACCTCGAAGGAACCAATCCATGATACGTCGGATGGTGAGCGATCGAATAGAGTTGTGAAGTATGGTTGGAAGACGCCGAAAGAGTTGGCCACGCCCCTAGAACCATCAGTGACTTTGAGTTGTCGACAAATTTTCGGACAATTCTTACCACGTGTTCATCACAACAAGATGAGTGCTCAATACTGTTACTTTGTCAGCTTGGTTGCAGCCGGGAAATCATGACCGGTGGTGGCTGTGACTTACCAACCATCCACGCTCTGAGCCCTCCATCTGGCGGTACATCAACAATAGCTCTCGGTCGGGACGCAGCCCGGCTGAGAGTTCTATGTGAGGGAACTGTGGTGGCATCTGGCCCGATTTCAACAGGAACTTCACCCGAGACCGCGGACGCAGCACTGGGCGTGCTGTCTGAATGCGACTTTTCCTGCATGATGCGCGAATGGACAGGCCAGTTGCAGTAGTTGGTGTGCGTGAGGCTCAATTCAAATGGTTTCTCAACACCAAACTTTATTTCCCACGATCACAGTCCACAGGAACGCTAAAAGTTTGCAATTGCAACTTGACCGGGGTCTAGACTGCGGGCGACGCGCCTTGTTCAAGGAGTTCCCCGCATCGAGGTCTTATATTCATTTTTCGATTTCCCGACTTCGGCCTAATTCGGGGCGGGAAGAAACAGCTTCTCCGGAAGTGCCTGTTTTTGGGTCGGGAAGGGCACAGCGGTCCAATTATTTTAAGAGTCATGACTCCTGACCGATTGTTTCAATTATTAATGGGATTCCTTAGAAATGCCATTTACAGTGGCGGTCTAGTTCAGCGTGTTCGTGGAAGCTCAACTGGCACGAATGCAGCGGGCATCGGGGGGTAATCGGCCGACTAGGTCTCACCGGAAGTCGGGCCGGAGCCGGATCCGGGGCAAGTCGATCCACCAATTACAGGGGCATCCATCATCCGTGCCGTCACAAGAAACGGCAATGCAATTTATGATGCAAATATGTGATAGAATGCCATTTCTTTGCTATGCTATTAATAACAGGCGGTCTATCGATCAGTATGGCTTGACACCAGCAAGCTTCAGCAACTTATCCGTGACCTCAGGCTTCTCAAACGGCTCCGACCGGTACTTTGGGCAGACCTCGCCATTCCTCTTTGGCTTGTCCTGTGAAGGGCGGATATTGCTACCGGTTGTCAGCTAATTCACGATCGGAAGCTCAACCGAGAAGTTGAGGAAAGAACTCACCAATGAGGCCAATGCGTAGTCCCATACCAGTTCTCGAAACAAAACTTCTTCGCCTCGAGGGCCTCGTCCGTCGCGAACTTGCGCGGAGTCATGCAGATGTACTGCACGTGTCTGATCTGGTCGCCCTCCGGGAAGCGGGCGTAGTGCATTGTACGCGAGTCCCAGAGGACGAAGTCGCCGGGTTCCATGTTGACCTTGAACAGCTCGCAGCCCTTGCTCTCGAACCACTTGACGTCCTTCTCGCTGAAGAGGAACAGGTCCATGAACTTGATCTCGGGGGGCGGGGCGTCTTCGTGGTCGGCGGACTCGCGCTTGTGTGCGAAGAACTCGTCAAAAAGCTTGGCGGAGCCCCTCATGAGCATGAGCCCGCCGTCTTTGGGGCCGTTGGGGGCGAAGTTGAGGAGACCCTGAACGGCTTGCATTCTGGTATATGTCAGAGACGTCACTAGGATATCAGATTGGCTCAACTCACCCTTTCCTCTCGGGGTTCTGATCGCAATGCGGCCAAGGGCTCCATGTAATGTCTTTGCGGTTCGGCATAGAGATGTTCATGCCGTCAAAGGAAGTGATGAGCTCGTTGGTTTCCCAGAGCTTCTCAAACACATCGATAATCTTGGGTTCCATGCGGGCTTCCCATGCCATCTTCTCGTGGGATGCGCCGTATGTGGAGTACATACTGTTGATGAGGTCAGCATTGCGAGTTAGGCTTTTGTGTTATTAACACTAACCCTCCCTTGAAGCTCACAGGCAGATGATCAGCAGTCCATGTCGAAGGGTCCTTGTCGTCAAAGCCAAGATCAAACTTCTTCAACCACTCAATCTGCTTATCGCAATAGTACTGAGCTCGTTCCGGGCTGATGACGTTCTTGATAACTACACAGCCGTTCTTGTGAAACTCGTCGCGCCAGTCTCCGTAATGCTTGTCAGTGTCAAATGTGACAAGATCTTTCGTCTCGAATTGAGTGGCAAAGGTCCGTTTGACCTCGGTGTCGGTCACTGTCTGTGTCTCCGTGGCCATGTTTATGAAATGAAACTGAAATGTGCTACGATTAGGCAAGACCCCAGGAGCTCGTTGATGGGGTTGCGATGAGAACGTCGGAAAGGGGTGAGGATCAGTAGTTTGAGTCTGTCACTTCGCAGCGAGCAAGACGTCTGTTATAAGTCTCAAGCTTCACATTTCCTTGTCGCTACCTATGCATGGATCATGTCGGCCCTCGTGACCATGGGTACGTAAGCCCGCGAAAGGAAGTGTCCGTGGTGCCGAGCCCCGTTCGGGGAAGGTCTGGGCCGGGCCGGGTGGTCGGTTCGGTTCGGTTCGGGAGTTGTGAGTAGCGAAGGAGCGCGCTGTCGATCCCCCATCCGGGGCAAAGAGGCCGGCATAAAGTCTTTTGGAGACAGATGTGATCTCACGCGGGGTAAATAACGGGGATTAGCATAGTAGAAAGAAGAATAACGTCGTGTGGTAGCGGAGACTACCCCCATCGTGCATAGATCTTGCCACAATCCCGGGACGAAAGCGCTTAACGCCACAGCTGGAAGTTAGAACCCAGGTAACCAAGTGCATGGGTTCCCGCTCATGCAAGATGGCCCCTATCGTCTGTCAACTACGCTCATTTGAAAGATGTTCCACGGCCATTCAAGCACAGTAGGAAGCGGCGTGAGATGGCCATCATGGCCAACTACGGCATATATCGCCTTCTACTTAAATACACGTCGTCTTGCACCATTAACAATCTTCCCCGGGCACAGGTCTCCACAAGGTGCCATTCTGGAAACAAAGGAGAATATGATTAGAATAGACGAGAGCCGTGCAAAGGTTTCCCACCCATGACCGTTGACAGATTTCCCTAAGATGTGGTTTACGTTCGCTCTTCCCAAACACGCTGCTCATCCTCTTCGTCCTGGTAATGCAGCCTTGACAACCCGTATGCGTTGCTGGAAGCCAAAATGTAGAGAAGCATCAGAGCCGCGAACGTAGTCCAGATGGCGAGGATAGTGTCGATAATTCCAACGTACGCCGAGGCTTGGCCCCACCAAAACATGGCCAAGGACATCACGGTGGTGATAAAGGCCCAAATCCTTGCAACGAGCCAAAGGGATACCGCGACGAGCAAAAGGGTGGCAGCCTAATGAACGAATGGACAAGTTAGTAAAAGCGTTCATCTGAAAACTATCCCGTCGTTAGTTTCTACAGAAAGCCTCTCACCTTCTGAACAGGGCTACCCCTGGCCTTTTTCTGTGCCTGGAAAGCATAGATGGTCATGCCGACGGCAGCGATCAGAAGCATGCAGTTATTGCTAGCTGACATGTATTCAGAAGCCAATGACAGCCTAATCGCGTTGTCCCAGTCTCCTGGCACGTAGCGATCCCTCCTCTCTTGTAGAATCTTGTACATTATCTGAAAGGCAATATAGCAGCAGAAGACTGCTACCTCTACGAGAGCAATCAGGGCTGACCCGACGAAGACTACCTTTCTGCCAACAAAAGAGGCCCTGGAGTCATCTGTCGTGGCACCACCACGAAGCTGAGCCAGGGCGTGGACGAGGAAGAAAAAGGCAAGGAGAAGGGCGACTTGGCCCAGTGTGCCAAGCAGTGAGCCGACAATGTAAATGTAGGGAGAAGCATCATCTAGGCCAAAATAACTCCTGTCATTTTGGCGCTGGAAGTACACGACTGTCCACAGAATCCAGCAGACGAGAATAAGAAGCTGGGATCTTTTGAACACCGACAAAGTCAGCATCTTATCGACCGAGGAGAGGTTACGCCATTCGTGTTCGCACGTAGCCCGCGATGCCGGACACTGCGCACTGAGAAATGAGAGAAGACACTCACATGCTCCAGAGTCCTAAGGCTGCTTTGGTGAAGTCGACCCATCGGCGCGTGGGGTCATGCTTGGCTCCGAGCTTACGAAGAGCAAGGGCAGAGACCCCCAAGGCCGGGAGGATGACTAGTCCCGATAGGACACTTCGGACTATGTATCCTGTTATGTAGGGTTGCCAATCCATCTTGAATTTTTTCGCTCGATTCGAATAGTCTCGTGGTATATTAGGAATTAAGGGATTTTGGTGTTGCGGTGAAAACTTAGTCGAACTTTGGGTTGTTGCCGAGACGATCTTAACTTATGATGGAGCAAAAGAATCATAGAGGATCGGGTCGACAACAAGCTTAAGTATTACCCCAACTCAAAACCAGACATGTGAGCCCACGATCTTGGCGATTCACCATCCAGTCATAGACCAATGTGCTGTCGGTTCGAGCCGGTCTCTCACCCTGGCCGGGCGACTGCTGTGCCGCATTAGCCCCTGTCCTCGTAGGCTTGAGCCCCGTAGAGATGGACCAGGCTAGACTGAGTTGGGTAGCATACACGGCTTCAGGGCACACAGCCAAGGAAAATTCGATGGCATAGAGCCTGTAATCGCCATAGAAAATGTGCAAAAGAAATGTCATCGCCCTATGCGGTTGGTCACCCGCACACGGCCCGCTTCACTCGTGGGGCGGGCGCAAAGCTGCGCCCCTCAAACGACCAGTTGAATCGGTAGCGACTCCAAAAATGAAGGCAGCAGTCAGGTCTTACTCGAAAAACACCAGTTATGAAAGTGATTGCCTGACAGGGTCCCATGATGTTGAAATAACGTTGTGGTTCCAAGGCGTCGTCCCGAGCCACGTGCGCATGATTCGCCATCAATTGTAACTTGGGCTGCCACGCTGCCAGGGCGAATTTTACGACAGCTTTTCGTTCAATTGGTGGCCAGGAGGCTTCAAAGTTCAAGCTTATCAGTTCTTGAATCTGAATCTGAATCTGAATCTCGGTTACATCTCTAGTGCTTCTAACACACCATGCTCAAAATATTGTCTCCAGCCTTCCCCTACTTCCACGAGCTGCTCATGAGGGCATTAATCATATGCAAGCAATTGAAAAAATTCTATCTTGGGCTCGATTTAGAAATCTATACGCTATCTGAACTTTAAGGCCTCGGGTTTAGGGGTTCACTTCTCAATGAAACAGATCTTACGCCGCGTCAAATGATCGTTCTCAATGCATTTCAAATTTATCTTTGATATTAGCCAAGGGCTTATCATCGAAATTACTTGCAGGTATTCCATAACTAATAAGTCACATCAGGCGGTCACTATTTATGACGTATTCCATCAACTGCTGGTGGAACACTACATACATTCTACGCGAAGATGAACAATCTTTTCTAGCAAATAGCGAATTTTGCGGTTGAGCAGAATAGAAGAAAACTGGAGGCGCTCGCCGATCCCAAATACTGTAGTCCACCAGCAGTTGATGGGATAATGCGGGCTTTGTCACATAGGCATCACAGCCGAAACCTATCGTTAGCAAACACGGACAAATTCAATTTGAGGACACCCCAAGGATTTTTAGTTCCGCAAACATGAAAGTGGGACAGGTTCAAGCCAGCTTTGGAATGCCACCCGCGCGAATAATTTTGGCTAAGAGACCTACGGATACCCACGCTAGGTCTAATGGTGTTATTGGTTTCTTTCCCAATATCTCGAATTGCGATCGTCATTATTCTTATTCTCATTGCCATTATTCCCATCGCTGTGTATGCCGACTATCAGCCTGAAAGGAGAAAACTCCCGCGCGCGTGGCAACCCCTTTTTGGGAGCTCACCGACTCTACTAGTGGGCGCATCGAAGAGACCTGGAACAACGACCACATATAAGTCTTACTGGCGTAACGTGAAAAGCAAACGGTGGTGAAAACTTGTGCTATTTGACGAAGTTGGATAGCAACAATACTCCCGAGTCCAACTTGCGAGTGAAAAAGATTGCGCCTGATATGATCCACCAGAGAAAATCTCTGTCAACTCTACCTACATAGAAAAAAGTCTAATCCACTCATTCCGAGGTCTTCTAATTGCATTGGGGGTTCTCGGGACAGGAGGAGCCAAAGGTGAAGCAGTGACGGACATTTACCGTCATTGACGGTAAGTCTCCGGACAGGCTATTATCAGGATCCTCTTCCCTCACAACGGGAAGTTGAAGCGTGCGAGTTAGATGTTTACGCTTGCGATTTTGAAGTTGGTGTCCCTCTAGTGCTGCATTGCTTCCTTACTTGGCCTGAATCAAATCAGCAATGCTGTCAAGATAGCAATCACCGTGCCGAAAGTGCCGAGTGGTAGTAATCCATGCAGTTAGTCAAGACGCGGAATACCAATGTTACATATCGCAACTTAGCGGCGAGAATTGACTGGACATGATTTCTATGTTTTCGGCTTTTGATCTACGCGATGCAACCTTCTCGCCATGTCTTGCAGCTCTCTGCCTTCAAGTCCACGATGGAAATAGTACTTCCGCAAACGAACTGCCATCGCTGCAAGTTGTCTTGGCTTAGTCTCAACGGTTACATCCAATGAGACGATCATCGGCACACAATTCCAGGCAGATCCTCAAAAGCGGGCAAAAGCTTGCTGAGTGCCGCGCCAATTGAGTCGTGGCCCGCGTCTACCCCAACATGCGGGGGACACCAGTCAGGGGTTAGCCTGCATAAGCCCTGGATAAACATGCCATCAGTAATTGACTGTAACCTCACCTCCGCTACCGAGGATGCGCACCAGTAGTCGACGAGTCTGAACGGTGGCAGTGGACCGCTGAGCATCACGAGATCCGCTCTATTGAGTTAAGCTAAGTTCGCCTTCGTATTCCCCACGGGGAACGATAAAGACCGCTAAGATTACTCGTCATGCCCATCCAGTATAATAAGCAGGGATGTCCACGTTATTTCGAGGGGCTTTCCGTGATGTTATTAGGCTTGACAATTCTTCAAGACAACTCCCTTGGTTTCTGATCATCGTTGGCTTCAGCGTCTACCGCCAGCAAGATGTGGTTTAACGCGCAAACCTGCCAGGGTCTGGCAGCCCTCGCGCTCTCCCTGCTGTCTGCAGGAGCGAATGCTCAGGCAGTGCCTCCCGTGAACCAGGAGAAAGGAGTCTCGGCTTGGGCTTTTGACATGAGCCAAGTCACTCTCAGCAGTGGTCGCCTCTTCGACAACCAAGCTCGTACCCTCACCTACCTGAAATGGGTCGATGTTGAGCGGCTGCTTTACAACTTCCGCAAGAACCACGGTCTATCTACGAACAACGCGCAGACCAACGGCGGTTGGGATGCCCCCGACTTTCCTTTCCGGACGCACTTCCAGGGCCACTTCCTCAACGCCTGGGCTTATTGTTACGCTCAGTTGCGCGACACTGAGTGCAAGAACCGGGCGACGTACTTTGCGGCCGAACTCAAGAAGTGCCAGGCAAATAATGCAAACGTCGGCTTCAACACTGGCTACCTCTCCGGATTTCCCGAATCCGAGATCACCGCCGTCGAGAACCGCAGCTTGTCCAACGGCAACGTCCCATACTATGCCATCCACAAGACCATGGCCGGCCTTCTCGATGTCTGGCGCCACATCGGTGACACCAACGCTCGTGACGTGCTTCTGGCGATGGCTGCCTGGGTCGACCTCCGCACGGGGAAGCTCACGTATGCCCAGATGCAGAACATGATGAGCACCGAATTTGGCGGTATGAACGAAGTCATGGCGGACATCTTCCACCAGACCGGCGACCAACGGTGGCTCACGGTTGCTCAGCGTTTCGATCACGCGGCCATCTTTGACCCTCTTGCGTCCAACCAAGATTCTCTAAATGGATTGCACGCGAACACTCAGGTCCCTAAGTGGATTGGTGCTTCTCGCGAGTACAAGGCCACTGGAACAGGTCGGTACCAAGACATCGCCCGCAATGCATGGAACATCACCGTCAGCGCCCACTCCTACGCCATTGGAGGGAACAGCCAGGCGGAGCACTTCAGACTTCCCAATGCCATTGCTGGATTCCTGAACTCGGATACCTGCGAGGCTTGCAACACTTACAACATGCTCAAACTGACGAGAGAGTTGTGGTTGACCAACCCGAGCGCTACTCACTACTTTGACTTCTACGAGAGAGCTCTTCTGAACCACCTTCTTGGCCAGCAGAACCCCTCGGATAATCACGGTCACATCACTTACTTCACTCCATTGAACCCTGGCGGCCGTCGTGGTGTCGGCCCTGCTTGGGGCGGCGGCACTTGGAGTACTGACTACGACTCGTTTTGGTGTTGCCAGGGAACCGGTCTTGAAACCAACACGAAGCTGATGGACTCCATCTACTTCTACGACAACTCTGCTCTCTACGTCAACCTGTTCGTCCCGTCGGTGCTTCGCTGGACTCAGCGAGGTGTGACCGTCACACAGACAACTGACTTCCCCCGCGGTGACACCACTACTCTCAAGGTCTCTGGTTCTGGAAAGTGGACCCTTAGAGTGCGCATTCCGTCCTGGACTTCAGGCGCCCAGGTCACCGTCAACGGGCAAGCTGTCACTGCAACGTCTGGCGCATATGCTGCGATTGATCGCACTTGGGCTGACGGCGACACCGTTGTCGTCAAGTTGCCGATGAAGCTGCAGACTATCGCCGCCAATGACAACCCCAGCATTGCGGCACTCGCGTTCGGCCCGGTTATCTTGAGCGGTAACTACGGAAGCGACACACTTTCTGCTGTGCCGACTTTGGATTTGGCCTCGGTCAAGAGAAGCGGTACGACTGGTCTTGCTTTCACTGCAACGGCAGGTGGGAAGACAGTAAACCTCGGCCCGTTTTACGATGCTCAAGGATTCAACTACAATGTTTACTGGTCCATCAGTGGGAAGCTGCCCGCCTAAAGCAATGAGTTCTCAGTCCTAGTAAGAATAAGCACGGGAACGAAGAGCCTTTGAACGGAGTCATGTAAATACTTCTTTGGAACGTGTGCACGCACGTATCTACAGTCAACCGAGATTAAATATACATTAAGTGGTTGATACCAAGCTTGGGCTACCTACCTCCACCCTCAGATGTGCAAATCTTGACCATCTCTAGCGGCCTTAACACGCACACACTGCGCCATCACCCGTAGATACCGGTCGTACGCGTCGGTCCCGATGACAAAAGGATGCTCGCCTCCT